TTTCATATTCAAACCAGCAGCAAACAACAGGTTGAATCTCTTGCATGCTTCAAATCTTTCTGACTTCTGCCACCAGCTAGAAAAACAACTCTCTGCTTTTAAGGGCTCATTAGATTACATTTGGTCCATCCAGATAATCCAGGATAATTTCTTTATTTTAAGGTCAACTGATTAGTAACCTTAATTACATCTGCAAAATCATTTAAGTAAATACTAGGTGCAATTGCTGGATCATATGGTAAGAGTTATATTTAATTTTGTAAGAAACTGCCCAGTTGTTTTTCAAAGTGTACCATTTTACATTCCTTCTAGCAATGAATGAGTGTTCCTGTTGCTCCACATCTTTGTCAGCATTTGATGTTATCAGTGTTTTGGCTTTTGGCCATTCTAATAGATGTGTAGTGGTATCTCATTTTTGTTTTTAATACATTTTTTATATATGGATAAATATTACAAAAAAGATAAAGTGAGCAATCATTTAAAAAACAAGCCAAAACATCGTGGTTAAATGGATCCTTAAGAGTTATTCTATTAGAAAGCCATGTAAAAAATTATGTACAAAATAATTTCAGACTCTTCTCAAAATATTTGTGACATACTTTTTGCCTTTTCTGTTGTCTGATATTCAGATACCTAAAGATTGCCACTCTGCCAATATCTAAAAACATCCAGCTGATATTTCTGCATCAAAGAAAGTAAAGCCCTCATGGTCAAATCTACTCCTTTAGGTACTTTTTGTGACCAAAAAGTGGGTGTGATGGTTAATTTTATGTGTCAACTTGACTAGAATATGAGGTGCTGATATTTGGTCAAATGTTATTCTGGTATGTCTGTGAAGGTGTTTCTGGATGAGATAACATTTGGTGGGGTTTTTTTCTTTGGCACTTTTTGGGTTTTTTTTGAAACATAATTGATTGTACATTGAATATTGATAACTGTGTGCATTATGTGATACTCAAATCAGGATAATAAGTAGGTTCAACTTTATACCATGTAATCATTTTTTGTGGCCCTTTACCAATTTATCACTAACTTCCCCTTCTCCCTTTCCCACCTCTGGTGGACTCAGTTCTGTTCTCCCCTTTAGAAAGTTCAATGAATTATTGTGATTGTTCTTTCTTTCTTTGTTTGTTTATTTTTAATTCCCACTTATGAGTGAGGACATGTGGTATTTATCTTTCTGTGCCTGGCTTATTTCACTTAATGTTCTCTAAGTTTACCCATGTAGCTGCAAATAGCAGAATTTCATTCTTTTTTATGGCAGAGTAGTATTCCATTGTGTGTGTGTACCGCATTTTCCTTATCCAGTCACCCCTCGATGGACATTTAGGTTGGTTCCAACCCTTGGGTGTTGTAAATAGAGTGTGATAAACATGGCAGTGCAGGTGTCCCTTAAACTTGATGATTTCCATGCCTTTAGGTATATGCCCAGCAATGGGATTGCTGGATCGTATGGCAGTTCTATCTGTAGTTGTTTGAGGAACCTCAATACTGTTTTCCATACTGGTTGCACTAATTTACAGTCCCATCAACAGTGTAGAAGGGTTCCCCTTTCTCTCTATCCTTGCCAGGATTTCTGTTATTCTCTTTTTGATAATGGCCAGTCTAACTGGTGAGATGATATCTCAAATTGGCTTTGATTTGCATGTCCCTGATGCTTGTGATGTTGAGCACTTTTGATGAGATTAACACTTGAATCGGTAGACTGAATAAAGCATATTGCCCTTCCCAGTGTAGGTGGGCCTTATTCAATCAATGAAGGCCTGAATAGAAAAGAAATGCTAAGAGAGAATTCCCTCTCTCTTTTTGATGAGATTAACACTTGAATCGGTAGACTGAATAAAGCATATTGCCCTTCCCAGTGTAGGTGTGCCTTATTCAATCAATGAAGGCCTGAATAGAAAAGAAATGCTAAGAGAGAATTCCCTCTCTCTCTGCCTGTCTTTGGGCTGGGACATTAGTCTTCTCCTGCTTTTATACTTAGACTGGAACTACTTGTACTCCTATACAGCACTGGCTCTCTTCAGTCTCCAGCTTGCTGACTGTAGCTCTTGGGACTTCTCAGCCTCCATAACCATGTGAGCCAATTTCTTATAATAAATTGTGTGTGTGTGTGTATCAGTGGGAAACTGAAAATTCTGATGAGGAAAATGGCACAGAGTTGGCTCAATCAAGGTAGAGGTCCTAATAACATACAGAGACAACTTGTTCCATATATTCCATGGTTAAATTCTCAAGGTCTTCTGGAGAATTAATAAAAACTGACATTGTTTTCTTTGATGACTTGAGCCAGCCAGCTAAGGGGTAGGCTGCATCAAATGACCACTTTGCAACCTGCTAGCTAGTCATTTCCCTTTAGAAAAGTGAACAAAACTCATGGTTTCCTGAACATCTCACTTTCCCTTGCATTTTATAAATCCAGTTTTGTTGTTTTAACCTTTGTTGACATCCACCCATTGACTCTCACCTTCATATGAGTACATTTCTTTGCATATAATTAACTGCCTCCATGTCATTCCTTGACAAGAGTATGTGTAAAGAAGAGAAGGTGCCAAAAGACTGAACCTGGGGCATTCCATTATTTAGAGGTGAAGAATCAGAGAGGTCACTGAGAATGGCAGGGAAGTTGGAGGAAACTAGGAGAAGGTAGTGTCCCAAAAACCAGGAGAAGAAAGGGTTTACAGAAGGAACAGTGATTAACTGTCAAATGCTGCCTAGTAGTTCAATAAGAGCAGGCTGAGACCTGACCACAGATTTGGCAACTTGGAAGTCACTGGTTACCTTCACAGGTGTGGTTTCAGTGGACTGGTGGGAACAAAAGCCTAATTGAAGAGGGATGAGGAGTGAATAAGGGAGAAGATATACAGAACTGTTTTGGGGTCTTCCTGTAAAGGGGATCAAATAAATGAGATGTAGCTGGAGAGAAAGGGGAGAAAGGAAGTGAGGGTTTACATTACAGATTTTTAATTTTTGGAACAGAATAGATACCTCAGATGATTAAAAATTACACCTATAAACTTATATATAAAACGTCTCCCTCCTACTCTTTATTCCTATCTGCCCTGTAAAGGTAGCTATTTAATTCCTTGTATATTCTTCGATTTTTCCTTTGTGCATAAGGTGAAAGTTTTCAGAATCAAAATGTGTCACGTGTGTTAAAAAAAAAATCTGACAAATAGAGCTGGGGAAAGGCCATGAAGGGGCGAGTTCTCACACACGTCTGATAACAGAATTATCTACAAAGGACTCTGCAAAACCACACCTTGCACAAAGGCCATTGCAAACTTACACCAAAAATACTTCTGCGAGGACATGTGCCCAACAACGGTCTGTCCAACCTCGGACTGGCGTCACCCTTGTTATTGATCCTTGTATTTAAGGATAATGATTCCATAAAACCCTTTGTCTTCCTTTATCTCTCTGAATATGCACATAGTTTACTCTGGCATGTGTATTCCCATTGTAGTGTTCTATTCTCAATTACACTCATTACTCTTCTAGAGAGCCTCTCTGTTATTTAGGTTGAAAATACATAATACATAATATTATTTCCCCCCATTTTTAATGAAAAAGACAGGAGGATAATGCATACTGTTCTCTACTTTGCTTTTTTAAAAAGACTAATCAACATATTCATATAGCTATAGGATGAACTTCAAATCAAAACTGGAATTGCTGGGTTAAAGCACATATATTTTTGCACTATTGATAGATATTTCTCAGTTGCCATCTATAAGAGTTGAATCAGCAATTTTTTCCTCACAGTCTGAGTGCTATCAAACTTTTGGATTTTTAATAATCTGAAAGGTGGAAAATAGTATCTTAGAGTTTTTTTTTTTTTTTAAAGATAAGAATTATGAAAGCATATTAGCACACTGTAGAAAGAAAGGCTGATAATTCAGGAGAGAGAAAGGGAGTAATTTCAGGAGCAGAGTCCTTTACTGGGCTCGAGGAATGGTCCACTGTATCAGTGATTTGTTCAATAGGTGCAGATATAGAGGGATGATGGTACATTTAGGGGTAGAATCAAGTGCAAATCTCTTTTGACTGCTTTTATTTTTCAGGTGAAATAAAAATCAGTCGAGTCAGGGGAGTGGAGGGAGTGTTGAAAATTTGAGCAGAGCTATGAATTGCTTCTTTTAAAGAATGGAAGAGAAACTTGACCAAGACATGTGGAGTTGTTGGGCAGCACTGAAGTCCCCCTTGAGGATTACAGCCATAAATTTAAAGTGAAATTTGAAGGACAAGGAACCACCATGGATGCAGAAGACCCCTGCTTTAGGGAGACTTTAGTAAAAATAAAATTAAAACAAAGCATTTATTGAGCGTTCATTTAACAAACAGAGGGATCTCCTGGGCGGAGGCACTCTTGCTGGGTGCAGGCTGTGCTGCTTACAGCAGATCACAAACATATTCAAGTCAGCTGTTCGCACGAAGGTAATTAAACTAAGGTATTCCCCTTGCAAACCAAAATACAAAGTCACCATAACATCTCTTTGTTCTTAAATTTGGGGTGGGTGGGGGGTGGGTGTGTTTTCTGACTCCTTTGATAGCCTGAACGAATAGCTATGAGCACACACATAAATTTGCAGACAATTTCACTTGGTCCTAGAACCACAAATTAAGAACTCCTCCCCCAAATTAAGAATCTTATTTTATTTTATTTATTTTTTATTATTATTTTTTTTTCCTTTTTGTCTTTTTTCGTGACCGGCAACGGATCGCAACCCTCAGTGTCGCGCCCGTACCGGACCGGGACCGGCAACGGGATCGCAACCCTCGGCGCTGCTCCCGCCCCTCGCTCAGCCAGTGAGGGGAACCGGTCTGTATGTGGGATCCGAACCCTCGGGCGGGAGCGCCCCCCCCCTTCCCAAGCGGCGCACTGTCACTGGGCCGGCCAAGAATCTTATTTTAAACAATGTATCATTCTAGTGTATTTCGCATGATCCAATTTGCACAAAGCTTTCATGGTTGCGTACTGGACACCTCAACAAGGGCTCAGAATGTGAAGTCATTTTTAAACACTCAGGGCTGGTGGGTCAGCTCAGCTGATTAGAGCATGGTGGTGTTAGAACACCAAGGTCACAGGTCGGGATCCCCCTCGCCGGCCGGACGCCCCCCCAAAAAAACTGAAAAAATAGTATACTTATTTTTCCTTGTACTCTTCATCCAGAATCTCCAAAAGTTAACATTTACAAAACCGTAATACAATTATACAAACTATTGATACAATACTTATATTAGTTAACAGACCTTATTTAAATTTTGTCCGTTGTCCCATTAATGTCTTTTTTCTGTCACGGGATACAATTCAGGATTGCACATTGCGTTTAGTATGAACCTCGGGCTTTTTTTTTTTTTAGATTAATTCAAGCCCTGTACTTTAGGTCTGTGTGCTCTTCTGCAAATTAACGCCCGAGTCAGTTTCCGGCTTAATAGACATGAAGATGCGGTGAAGAAGCAATAAAAAATACATGTGCAAACTTCGAAGGGAAGTAAACGAATTTCTTAGTGCTCAAAGCTAGTCACATACAGCTCAGCTTCTCTTTACATAATTTAAAACAAAAACAAAGGAAACGGAAGCGAATCAATGTTGTCAAGGTATTTTGTCCCAAAGTAGGAGCTGTAGCTGGCGGAAGCTTCTCCTGATTGGGCAGCGTGTGTCCATCACGACACAGAACGCCGCCTCGTTGGCCCCCGCTGTCGAGAGTAGGTGGCCTTTCTAAGCGCTCAGGGCGCCGGCCCTCTCCACTTTGTCTAAGGGAGCGCTTTTTTCTCGGTGCCGGAGCCGCCAGCCCAGAGGGATTCGGACCGAGCTTGGCCGGGTGACTGCACTGGGGTCAGTCGGGCAGAAGCGGCAGGCGTGGACTTCGGGTGGGAGGGTGGTTGGCGCGCCTGGGTCTTGGTGCCCCCTCGAGCCCCACGGCCTCCGCGACTTCTCTTACTGTCCCCTTCCCCGGGGCCCACCTCCCCAGTCTCCCCAAAGGCTTCGCGCGCCCACCGCCGCTCTTCCGCGGCCCAGACGGTACTTCAGCACTTCCGGCCGCCCCGCCTCTCCTGCACACCCCTCCGCGGGCCCCGCCTCCCCTGCACTTCAGCACTTCCGGCGGCCCCGCCCTGCACGCAGGTCCGCGGGCCCCGCCCCCGCCAGGCGCACCACTCCCTTCTCTCTTTCTCTCCAGTGCGCCCCTTTAACCCGTTCCTGACGCCTCCAGTCCCTTGTTTGTTTCTGCCCTTCCCTAGGACCTCCGCTTTTCTCTCAGTTAGCTCTGCCTCCTCTGCACCCCTCTCCCCATCTGACTGCCAGGGTCCCCAGATTGTCCCACCAAGCCAGGCTGCCTCTATATGGGCCAAGCAAATTGTGCAGAGACATAGTGCTGGGCACTGGGGATGGAGATGAGCTGTTGGAGGTCCCTGCTTTCAAGACCTCCCTGCCTCTGGGAGAGAGTCACTTTGTAATGTTTGTAATGGAATATAACAGGCCTGGTGATGTCGTTAATGAAGGCAGCATAGTGTTGGGGTGCTTAGAAGAAGGAGTTCTAGAGTTTTTTAGTTTATTTTATTGTTGTTATTATTATTATTATTTGCCACTTGTGCTGGATATTCAAGCCTGTGAAGGGCTAAGCTGTACCTTTTCCCCAAAGAATCCCTGGCTACTTCTGCTGCAGAAGCCTGGCCCTAACCATGGTTCTTTAAACACTTGGGAGTTATTAAAATTTTGGTATGGTCCCTTCTTTTAACCAGTCAGAATTGGTAGGGCGTCAGAGACTATCCATCCAAGCCCTCAGACTGGCAGGTTGAAGGCGAGAGACTAGTGATTGCTTTAGGCAGACAGTGACTCAGCGTCATACTCTTAATGCTTCTTTTACGAGTTCTTCCTGAGGATTCTTACCCAATTTTTCAGCTATCCAGCAGTCTTGGTAGGAAAACTAAAAGTGAGGATAGATAAAACCACCAGTCAGTAAAGAAGATTCCTCCAAGTCAGTGCACTAATACAGGTGTACATTATTCAGAAGACAGTAACTCACACCGCAGGCTCTTGGAGTCAAGCATCCCTGGGAGGGTCTGGTCCTAGGGTCCACCATTTGCTGTAAAGCTTGGCAAAGAAGCTTTCAGTTTTACCTTTTTAAAAAGAGCAGGATAAACCCTCTCGCACATGGTAATGGTAGGGTATTTGTTGAGATTCTGCTTATGAAAAAATCACTTAGGGGCCTGTAAATTGTAGGATCTCAGCACAAGTGAGCTCCGTATGCTTCAGATTCATGTCTGTCTGGCTCAAGCCAGTAAAGAGCCTGATACGTTGCTCTCACCTAGGCACCATGACGACCCTGGATGATAAATTGCTGGGGGAGAAACTGCAGTACTACTACAGCAGCAGTGAGGATGAGGACAGCGACCATGAAGAGAAGGACGCAGGCAGGAGTGACCCAGCCAGCAGTTCCATGCCTGCAGAGGCTGAGCTGGCAGGCGAAGGCATCTCAGTCAATACAGGTACTAGAAAGCCCTGAGCTCTGAGAACAAGCTTTACAAATGTCCATTAAGTATGTCTCAGTAAGTCTGATCACCCCTCTCTAACTCCAGTCTCACTTCCAGAGGTAACCCAGTGTTACCTCATTGTATCATTTCATTGTACATGCTTCTAGCCTTTTTACTCAGGGTAGAAATGTGTATGCATAGCAGCATGGTAATGAACACAGACTGGCCTGAGTTTGAATCTGGTTTCTTAAATTAATGTGGTTTGGTGTTCCTTAAGTCATAGGTATGAGTATATAGGTAGTATAAATTCCTAGAAGTGGCATATTTACACTTTTACATTTAATATTGTAAATTGCTGACAGTCAAGGTGGCACTAAATTATAGTTTAACCAGCAATATGATATTTTTCCGTAAGCTTGTCCTCCTACAGTTTTATCAAACTTTTTGATCTTTACCATCCTGGTGGATGACAAATAGTAACTCACTGTAGTTTTCTTTTCTTTTTTTTTATTGAAACATAATTGATTATACTATTTGTGGGGTACAGAGTTGAGTATCAGTACTTGTGTACAATGTGCAGTGATCAAGTCAGGACAATCAGCATATTCTTCATTGCAAAACATAATCATTTCTTTGTGTTGAGGATATCATTTCTTTGTGTTGATCTCCTCTCTTCTAGTCATTCGATAACATGCAGTAAATTATTGTTTTTTTTCCTTTTTCCCTGTTTTTTTTCCTTTTTCCCTGTCTTTTTTCGTGACCGGCAACGGATCGCAACCCTCAGTGTCGCGCCCATACCAGACCAGGACCGGCAACGGGATCGCAACCCTCGGTGTTGCACCCGCACCTCGCTCAGCCAGTGAGCGGCCGCTGGTCTGTATGTGGGATCCGAACCCTCGGCGGGAGCGCCGCTGCGCTCCCAAGCGGCGCACTGTAGCAGTGAGCCACCGGGCCGGCCCGTAAATTATTGTTAATTATAGGTGCCTGTGATTTTATTTTCTATCTTTTGAAGAGGGAGGTTGAATCTCTTTTCATACTTTAAGAGACATTTTCATACCCTTTACTAATTTTTTTAATTGGGTTGTTGGTCTTTTTCTTCTTGTGGAATATACATTAAGGAAAGTGAACTGGTATGGGTTGTAAATATTTCTTCCAGTTTGTTGTTATCTTTCAACTTTATGTTATTTTTGTGCCAGCAAATTATTATTTTTATGTACTTAGGAGTTTTATTTTATAGTTTTTAAATTTTGCTTCTTAAAGGACTTTCTTCACTCTACTTTATAAAAGTCCTCACGAAAAGATTCTCCTGTGCTTTTTCTTATTTTTATAATTTTATTTTTTTACTCTTAAATTAATATTGATTTATTTGGAGTTCATTTTGGGGCAAGACATGCAGTAGGGCCCCAACTTAATTTTTTTCATATTGCTCCTCAGTTGTTTCAGTACAATTTATTGGATAAGCCATCTTTTCTCCATTATTTTGAAATGTGAGTTTTATTATGTACTGAATCTGTTTATGTTGGGTCTTCAGTTATACTTTGTAGTCTCTTCCGTTGATTTGTTTTTTACAGGGCTATGTTGCACTTTTTTTTTTCCTTTTTGTCTTTTTTCGTGACCGGCAATGGATCACAACCCTCAGTGTCGTGCCCGTACCAGACCGGGACCGGCAACGGGATCGCAACCCTCAGTGTTGCTCCCGCACGTCGCTCAGCCAGTGAGCAGCCGGTCTGTATGTGGGATCCGAACCCTCGGCGGGAGCGCCACCGCGCTTCTCAAGCGGCGCACTATAGCAGTGCGCCACCGGGCCGGCCCCTATGTTGCGCTTTTTAAAAAAATTATTGCAGTGTTGTAATATATTTTAGTATCTGGTAGAGCTAGACCCACTTCAATATTCTTGTGTCATTATTTTCTTAACTTTTGCTTTCTTATTTTTCCAAAGCAAATTTACGAGCATGCATACGTAAATGTACAGTCATCCCTCGGTATCTTCAGGGGATTGGTTGCAGGACACCCCCCCCCCCCCCCCCC